CATGTGCAAAGTAACTGAAATTAATAAAACAAAAAGCTATAGAGATTCCCTCTTCTTTGTATCAGTATTGCTAATTCCATACATACTGTTCTAGGTACTAGTAGCATCAATTGTGGCTGCAGCACAAATCAATTAAGAGTGTACTGATTTAAGCCAAGCCAAAGCAGATCCTAATTAAATGGACAGTAATTAAAGGGAAAGGGTAGCCTAAAAATCAAAGGAAAAAAAAGAAAAAAACCCAAAACTATCCTTCAACAGTCAGAGAAACAGAGGAAGAGTAGCAGTGCAATGCTTGACGCACTATCCCATCAAATATTCAAGTATACGAAACCCAGTTCTCATTGTAGAGTTTTGTTGCTTTGTTCTCTGCCTACAAGCTTTTGGCGCAAAAAGGGCACAGATATATGTTACTAGAAACATTTGCTTGAAGGTTTTAACTCCGTATGTGCAGCTTATTAATGATTTAAGAGTTTAGGATCTGATCCAGATGTTGCTGTGAAAAGACTCCCACTGATTCAATCCATTTTAGATAAGGTCCCAGGATGATTAAGAACTACTTTAGGTTTTCTGCAAAATGGATACTGTAAGACACTGCTAATCTTAGAATTGTACCTTCCAGCCAGGAATAGTACCTTGCACAACAAATGATCTACCACCCCTCTATTCAAAGTTACAAACAGTAACTACAAGGCACGCTCTCTAAGATACAGAAAAATAATCTAATCAATAATTAATGTTCCCACATTTACTACTAGGAAAATAAAATTTGTATTTGATCTACTATTACCCTTCTAATGTTTGATTTTACCAAAAGATAGATTTTATAACTTTTTTCAATTATATATGTTTAATAACATTTAGATATGTGCACAAAACAGCCCATTATATCTTAAAACAGTATAGTAGCCTATTAAAAGTCCTAGGAAAATCAACAACTTAAACCTTCATCAACATAATATCCACCAGGCCACGCAAATTACTGACCTCCTATATAACATTAAGTATTAATGATCAAAGACTAAACCTAGATTGTCTCATCTATCCATCATCAAAATAAAGCTAAAATTTAAATAAGCACATTACTTTTGCTTAGCCCTTGCTGCTTCTTCTGTCACAGTTCTTTATTTGGATCCACAAAGGAAGGACTCTTCAAAACAATAACAACCGAAAACACATTTTGTTCTTTATACTGCCTTCCCAACCATTTAAGACAAAAGCTAAGCCTTGGCAAAACAAATCTAAATCTTTTCAGTGTCTTCCAAGGACTGCAGATTACATTGCTTAGAAAAAGAGACTTAATATTACATTTCAAAGATAGTGCATATGGCCTTCAGCAACATGAATGTGTGGCTCACTAGTGCTCTTCAATATGCTGGAATAAGAGAAGAGAAATGGAGATGGTAGAATTCAGTATAAGCAAAGATGCCAAGCATATTAGACAAAAATCTCTTGGTGTCAGAAAGAGTCATCTTGTTAAAGGTGCAAAAATCAATCATTGCAAAACATAATACATGCAAGAACTAGCAGTTTTATATTAAAAAGGAAGAAGAGGAAACCACAAAAATTATCTTTCTAATCCTTCTATGGACTTCCTGCCATATTCCTAAACTAATGCTGATACTTCATGAAATTTAAGTAAATTATTGTAAGAATTAGCTATTTGATGTCAACTAATTCCAAATGGAAAGAATGTCCTTTTCCACAACAACTGTCACATCAACATAATTGAATAAATGCAAACATAAACTGGAAACGGAGAAAGATAATACGGTACACAAGACTGGGTTTAGGTCTGAACACGGTGAAGTTCGGATTTTAATTCTGTATCTGTCACTGTTCTACTGATCACTGTTTCTGTTGAAATGGTTAACCAGCATTTCCGTCTTTCCAGGTTAGCAGCAGACCATTCAAGAATCAGCATGGAGAAAATCCTCACTTAAGATTCTCAGGTGTTGCTTCCAAATTTCACTTCTCCAGCTATTTCGCTTGAAGTTTTGGCAGCCTGTCAAAACAGCAACTTTTGTGTTCTCCTGAGCCAAGGCCACTACATTGCCAAAGCTGCAGCAGGAAAGTCTGCACGTGGAAAAAATTTTAGTGCTGCCAGAACAACTACTGCATGTAGAAAGGAAGTTAAACCAAATCAAGTGCTTCCCCACAGTGCAATCCTACCTACTTAGAGAGCAAAAGGACTACAGTGTCCCATACATACTTCTGGGACACCACATGGGACACCACCACGTTACTTTCCAGAGAGGACACAGAAAATCTGGGGCTAGAACACCTCTGAATGTCCCCGACAGCCCAGGACACCCTCAGCTCTCACGCAAAGCCGGGCCCCAAGAAAGTCACTGTGGGGGAAACGGAAAGGTTCAAGTTTCAAACCCTGCCAGTGGTGGGAGACTGCTACCAGAGGTGTGCACGGTAAGCTGAGCTTTTACTTTTAAGGAAGAGAAAGGAAAATGCTTAAAAGGTACCAATGTTAAAATAATATTTACATTACAGAGTAAAGTCACTGAAAGTTGAGAAATGTAAACTTTGGAAGTGTTTGAGTAGCTGTTGTTTAAGCAAACTCATTTCTGCTTTTTTTTTTAAAGAATGAGTTCAGACAACATATGCAATTACATGATCACATGGTATCATTTCTACAAGACCTTTTGTTCGTTCAGTGATCATTAAAAGTTGCATGGACAGCCATGCAGTTTGTATAGTACATAGATTTCAATTTCTTCACTAACTACAAAAATACACCCCACATAGTCAGTAATTTATCTAGGGTTAAAATAATTTTTTAGATACACCATTTTTAAAGGTAAGTTCTCAATTTTCAGATGTTTCTACTTCTGAACTGACCAATTAACACAGAAGATGTCAAGCTGTTAGAAACTTCCTGATGAGAAGAAAAACTAAATTACGTGTAAATCTATGGTACGGAAAGTTAAATGCATTTGGATATTTGTATGAAATGGTTACCAAGAGACAGAGAAGTTCTATAAATTATTATATTTTAATGTATTTGTTTTCTGATAACATTGAAACTTCTTACGTGAGAGTTTTTGGTGACAGCGCTCTTTACATGCTGGTTTCCACAAATAAGAAATTGCTGTGGATGCCTGATTGCTTCCTTTGCGTTATATCTATTTGGTTTACAAAGGGGCTTTTAATAATCCACTATTGCTCTCAAATAACCCTGTGCAAAGCATAAAATGGACACATTTTTGAAAACGGGTGAGTGAGTATTCAGTAACTTATTCAAAACCTGCCAGTATTGTGATCTTGGTTAGTACGGCCGTGCCTTATCTCTCTGTTTAGTTCATCAAGTCTCTAAATACACTACTAAAAAGGTGTCTCTCCACCTAGGTAGGGGTAATTATTAAGTAACACTGTCAATTCTTACCTTATGTAAACATACTGGAAATACAATAAAAAATTATGCTTTCAAAATGTTAATAGATCTTCTGATTTTAAAAAGACAAAACCAAAACTATACTTGTAGCACTGTATGGGAGACAAAACACATTTTGCAACTTCCATCTTTATGCTAATATTTGAAATCCAATTACAGCAGGCAATGTGTTGTTTCAACAGAGGAAATTAAAGATTCAAAATTACAATCTATTTTTTGAAATATTTCAAACTTCCCCTTGACAACTGAGCCCTGCCCCATTCCTAGATAAACACTAAACTTTTTTGGAGTGAAGTAACTTCCTCGCGATATGACAGCAACATTCGCTTCCCCACTCCCAAAAATCTAGATGCAGAAAGAAAATGAAGCCTTGGATATGTAATATAGGTCATCATTACAAACTATTGTATTAGTACTGAATCCATCTCCCATTAAGAGCAGGAACATCCTTCAAAGATTATTTTATTGAAATGGCTGATTTGAAATTTTCACTATTTAACAAGTTTGGATATTGCAATAGCTAGGATGCATTAGCAGAGAACTTGCCTACAAAGTGGCAGTTTAATCTAAATTACTTGACTGGCAACTCTGAAGAACAGCACTCTGTTTCAACAACTCAAGTTTGCCAGCAACATCCTCTTAAACCACTTCCAGCAACACTAAAAGGACATCCAACTATATGTTAAACCTCACTGCAAGTCAGCAGGATTTTAGCCTCCAAAATAATTCAGGCAGTTAAATGGGACTTTTACATCTTAAATACTTCCAGTTTTAGATAGCTAAGTAGCAATCAATACATGTTTTTCTGAAATAGAATTTGTATTCCAAACTTCGTTTCACAATTATTAGCTTTACAAAAATTATTTCAAGGGCTTAGAAGGAAATAGCCTCAGTACAAAACCTGACCATAAAAGAAAATTGAATTAAATGAATGTTTGTAATGGTTTCTTTTTTCTTCCCTGCTCCCCCTGCTTCATTTTTCATCTAGCTCAACAAGTGTGTATTAGTCTTTGAACATTCACACCACCAAAATACCAAGCACTAAAACTCAAGAAAGATGCAAAATGCACGAAAACCCAATCAGAATAAGTGAAAGTTAATTTGGATATGGCTCGAGTTTGGTAAATGCTCATGGCAAATTTTAAATGCTAGCTAGAATTGAACATCTCGTACAACCAGAAACTGTTTCTGAAAATATTAATTTCATATATTCCAAATGATGCAAATGTAACTGCAGTCAAATTCCAGAAAGCTCCAGGTTAAAAATCACCATAAGCAGAGTAGTTCTATTGGCTTCTATCAACTTAACTTTAAGCAAAAAGATAAACACAGAAGCAGACAAATGCACACTTTGCTCAACCAGCAGTCAGAGTATCTCAAATTCTCTGTACTTCTCAAGTATGTAACTTGTTAAAATGAACCAGAAATTTGAGTGGTATGTAGAAATAATGTTCTGATGCAACATCTGAAAGTTACTTTTCCTCAACTCTAGAAAAATAATAATTTTTTCCCATCTACCCCTCTCTAAAAAGAAAAAAAACATTACTGAATAATTTCAGTACTGCTATAGCTTTATATTACACAACACTGTTTTTACCTTTCCAAGCATTCTTCCAAGAAAGTAGTAATGTCGGGCGTAAGAGTCTCCAACGAGCATCTGCGCAGCAGGGTTAGGGTAAAGAAGTCCCTCATTGGTGGTCTTAAAAAAACCCTGGTTAGGGTTAAATCCTGATTTAAGCAGTTCATTCAGAAATTCTCTGAAAATTCCACCACCATCAATACCAGCTTCATCAAGACCATGTGCATTAAGTAAGTGAACACGAATGCGCTTTTTTAGGTCAGGTTCTGCAGAGAAAGTAGAGAGACAAACTTAAATATAACTATGTGCTTGAATTTTGCTTGGATAAAAACACGTGTAACTACACATACAAACATATCTACACTAACTTTATATAAAAAATTGAACTAGAAAACAGTAGCAAAAATCTATTATTGGCTTGAATTTTGGAATATTCAGTATGTGAAATTCACTTTGTACAATGGGTCTTGCTTTAAGAGTCATCAAAAGACAGAGTGAAAAGACACTAGGTAGAGGAATAGGAAAAAAAAAATCATACAAAATATTTTAAAGAGGCCTCAGGAATAATTTGAAAATTCTATTTATATAAAATACTGTGAATGCAGGGTTCAACTTTCTCCTGTCTGAAAAACTGCATTCCCTTAGAGGGGCTGACTGTTAAGCTACATCATTAAGTAATATTAAACAGTATTATCTGAAATCCAACTTAGTATTTTTGATATTGCACAGGCACTGCAATAGGTCCATTCATCACCACTCAAAACGAGAAAATAGAACACTGGCAAAAGAGAGTTTCAAGCATACAGACATGCTTTGTCTGGAGACTCCTGAGATACTGAGCATTAATGTTAAAACTTTTATATATGGAAAACGCTGGTTTAGTGCTTTCTGGGGCCTTATGAAGAAAATCAGTTATTTGGCTCTTCCTCTGTGTACTGACAACCAGATTTATAGCAAGGAGGGAAAAACGGTCCTAAAACAAATTCACATGGCAAAACAGGTGACCAGGTAGAGGTGGACCCCAAGTTAGTGGAACCTCTGAAAAGAAGAGTTTATAGCTCATACAGCTAGAATGTAACTGAACTGTTACTGGAG